ATACATTATACAGGGGATTATACAAGTAATTTATGTGGAATTTGTCAATAAAAATCAATGTAGTAAAATGTACAAAACATTAGAAATATCCTGCACTTAAAGTAAGCTCAGAGGCACTTCCAGCCCATATCCTGCAAGAGACAGCCCCCATATCCAGCAAGAGACCGCCTCCATTTCCAGCAAAGAGACAGCCCCAGTATCCAGCAAGGGACATCCCCCAATATCCAGCAAGAGACATCCCCAATATCCAGCTAATGGACATTCTCATATATTCAAAGAGACATCCACATATATTCAGTAAAGAAACATCCCCAAATATTCAGAAATTTAGCAAAGAGATATCCCCATATATTGAGCAAAGAGACATTCCCAAATATACAGCAAAGAGACATTCCCAAACAAACAGCAAAGAAACGGTTCAGCCCAGCAAAGAGACAGCCCATTTCAGCAAAGAGACAGCCCAATTCTGCAAAAAGACAGCCCGGTCCAGCAAAGAAACAGCCCAGTTCAGCAAAGAGACAGCCTAGTCCATCAAAGAGACAGCCCAATTCAGCAAAGAAACAGCCCAATTCAGCAAAGAGACAGGTCAGTCCAGCAAAGAGACAGCCCAGTCCAGCAAAGAGACAGCCCAGTCCAGCAAAGAGAAAGCCCATTTCAGCAAGGAGACATCCCAGTCCAGCAAAGAGACAGCCCAATTCAGCAAAGAGACAGCCCAGCAAAGAGACAGCCCAGTCCAGCAAAGAGACAGCCCAGTCCAGCAAAGAGACAGCCCAGTCCAGCAAAGAGACAGCCCGATTCAGCAAAGAGACAGTGGAAACTGCATTTATTTTCAACATACTCCCCTGCTACATTTATACACTTATCCCAGTGTTTAAATAATGCCTGGAAAGCTTCGGCATAGCAAGATTTGTCAGTACACCTGAACCCCATACTAGGACATTCATGAATGATTGTGCTCACCGTTCCCACAATAAATTTGTCACATGTGCAATATCAAGACCAGTTATGTGGCGATTATCCAGGATCAGGCCTTCCATGCTTTGAATGTTCTCAAGAAGGACTTTTGTGGGCTGGGAACCACCATGGCCAGGATCATCATTGTTGGACGTATGGCCATCTTTGAAACGTTTACACTATTCAAATGTCTTACTGCGGCTGAGCGTCTCATCACCATACTGTCCTTGAAGTGTTCTGTAGATCTCCACATATTTTACGCCTTCGTAAAATCACCACATGCTGTTCCATGCACGCACCAACACTGTAGTCTGCTGTCTTGATTAATGGTCTCTGGACTGGCCCGCAGCATGTGCGCCACTTATAAGTAATAAGACACACTACTACTGCATGTATTACCACCACGCTAGCATCCCTTTTTATACCTGTAAAATTAAAAGTCCCAGTTTGACTGGAATGCCCCTTGTATTTGAATATTGATCACTTAAATTACCCCACAAATGACTGATACGTCTGCCTCGAATGGCAGAACCTTTTGAAAGCCTTGTGTTGTATATGTACAGTGGCTGGTTCGGGAAGCAGTTCATTTTCATGAATGTCGGCCAGTCAGCAGTGTCCAAAGACAGACATATTCTTTTGTCTCTCACAAAGTTCCCCCACTGTACTGAATGCGTGTTCAGAGAGCAGGCTGCCTGCAGGACAACCCAGCGGCTCAATTTGCATACTGTACATGCTCTGGCCAGTGGTCCATCCCCGTGACCCAGTAGTTGAGTGGATCATCCATTTGGAGGGACTTTGTATCCATTCTTATCTCTAGATAATTGGCAACCTTGCAATGCTGGATATGCAATGCTGATAGATGGCATCAGCAGACAGCCCTGGGTGTTGAGGACTAAAATATTTTTTAAAGTGCATAATTCAGGCAACACCCCCCCCCCCCCCCCTACTGCTGCTCCACCGTTTCACAGTCAGAAGGCAATGGGACACCTTATCTTTAACACTTTATCCTGCCAGCCTCTGGAAATGAGTGACAAAGGTTCTTCTGTACTGCATCCTTCAGATGTTTAATCCTCTGCTCCCTCTGCAAGGGCAGGGTGAGCTCTGTGACTTTCCCCTTGTAACATGGATCAAGGAGGGTTGCCAACTAGTAATGGTTCCTTTCCTTATTGCCATGAATCATGGGGTCCTTTCTCTGGAGCATGAGGGAGCCCAAGCACCACAAATTACTGGAGGCAGAGAAACACCAGTCCTCCTCGTGGTTACTAAGGATGACATGATACTCAGTAACCTTCCCACAGCCATGAACCACTCCCTTGGTTTCAGAGACATGAAACCCATCCATGGAAGCCTGCCCCATGTCATCTTCAGCCTCAGTGTTCCTATGGCAATCATACTTCTCCTCCTGTGCCTGCTGTGGCCTCACAGGGACAGTGTGTGAATACAGTGACCTTGAGATGCAAGATAATCCTCTTCTTCCTCCTGCTGCTCTGCCCCAAGTGCCATGTCTATGATGCCACAGTGAGTGCTCCAGCATCAACACAACATGCTGATACATGCATTACCACGGCTCGCATTTCTTGTTGCCTCCTCAAATAGTGACAACACAGTACATGTGCCCTGTATCAGCAGCCACTGGTGTATGAAAAAAGCCCAACTCCACCAAGTCTGTCCATGTGCCATACTCACACAGGGCCTCACCCCTCTCTCTCCTCATTGGCTGACTGGCTGTGATTGACAGCAGCAGAAGCCAATGGCTCCCGCTTGCTGTCTAAGCCAATGAGGAGGCAGAGACCCAGGACAGCTGAGGCCATCATGCACATCGCTGGATCGCGATGGGGCTCAGGTATTAGGGGGGGCTGTGGGGCACTGCTGTAGACAGAAGTTTTTTTATGTTCATGCAGATAATGCATGAAGGTAAAAAACCTTGAGGCTTTACAACCACTTTAATGATTCATACTCTGAATGGTCTATGGGTTGTTAGTGGTTGTTAGTGGTGTACCCCAAGGCTCAGTGTTGGGACCCTTACTTTTTAATATATTTATAGATATAGGGTCTGGGTTTGAAAGTACTTTTTCACTGTTTGCAGGTAACATCAAGCTATGTAGTGGAATAATGTCCTTACAGGACGTCTGCAACTTATGAGCTGACCTCAACGCACTGTTTAATTGAGCAACTGTGTGGCAAATGAGGTTTAATGTTGATAAATGTAAAGTTATGCACTTGGGGGCTAGGAATATGCATGCATCATATATACTAGGGAAGTACAACTGGGGGAATCAATGGTGGAGAAGAATCTGGGAGTTCTGGTAGATCATAAGCATGATAATGGCATGCAATGCCAAGTGGTGGTTTCCAAAGCGAGCTAAATCCTTTCTTGTATTAAGAGAGGTATGGACTGCAGCGAGAGATATATAATTTTGCCTCTGTACAAATCATCAGTAATACCTCATCAGGAATATTCAGTTCAGTTTTGGGAACCAATTCACAAAAAGGATATTGGGTAACTGGAGAAAGTGCAGAGAAGAGCAACCAAACTAATAAGAGGCATGGAGGAGCTCAGCTATGAGGAGAAGAGGAGATTAAGGAGGGATATGATCAACATGTATAAATACATAGGTGGTCCCTACTTGATGTAGAGTTATTCACTTTAAGGTCACCACAGAAGACAAGGAGGCACTTTTTACGTCTGGAGTAAAAGAGATTTAATCTCCAAATATGGAAAGGCTTATGCACAGTAAGAGCGGTGAAAATGTGGAATAGACTCCCTCAAGAGCTGGTCTGGTTCTGGCTAGCTCAATAGATTGCTTTAAAAAAGGTCTGGATTCTTTCCTAAATGTACACAATATATCTGGATAGTAGTATGTATAGCTAAAGATGTTCCAGGGAATATCTAATTGGCTCTTGTGGGATCAGGAAGGAATTTTGTTCCCCTGCTGGAGCAAATTAGATCAAGCTTTTGTCAGGGCTCCAGGTAAGACCAGAGATGCGTGAACTGACACAGGGAAACGCAGGCTCAAGTATGGTGTAACAATATAATTTATTAAAGGTTATACACAAATATAAACGCACAACAAAAACCCAAATCTCCAGCTGATAACGGAATGTACGCAGACAAGAGCAGGTGAGGTGGAGTGGTCAGGCGGGCCGGGTCAGGAACCATCGGGCAGAAAAGACACAAAGGAGTAGGCAGAGCGTAGTCAGACGGGCCGGGTCAGGAACAATCAGGCAGACAAGGTACCAAAGCAGCAGGCTGGAGAGTGGTCAGGAATAGCTGAGGTCAGGACAGGCGGAGTTCACTCAGAGTCGGGATCAAAGCAGAATCCGGAATCAGGCAGGAAGCAGGCAAGATGCAGGTACAGGGGCTCATGGGAAACATACACCAAGGCCCTGACTGCAGGTCTGGCCATTCCTCAAATACACCTCCTGCAATCAACCTCAGGTGATGGCTGATTGCAGGAGTGAGCTTCTGGCTGCTGAGAGCACCCGCTGGCCAGCCTTGGTACTGCAGCCCACAAGGCAGGTGAGTCCCACCATTGGCGAGTCCATTCCTGACAGTACCCCCCCTCAAGAGCGGCCTCAGGATGCTCCAAACAGTCCTTAGTGGGCAAAATGTTCCACCGCCTGGGTCAGGTAACTGGCTGGATATCAGGGGCTGGCACATAAGGCTGGGCAGTGGACGGAGGCACATCAGGCTGGGCAGCGGACGGAGGCACATCAGGCTGGGCAGCGGACAGAGGCACATCAGGCTGGGCAGCGGCACATCAGGCTGGGCTGCGGACGGAGGCACATCAGGCTGGGCAGCGGACAGAGGTACATCAGGCTGGGCAGCGGACAGAGGCACATCAGGCTGGGCAGCGGCACATCAGGCTGGGCAGCGGACGGAGGCACATCAGGCTGGGCAGCGGGCATAGGCACATCAGGCTGGGCAGCGGGCAGAGGCACATCAGGCGAAGCAGCGGGCAGAGGCACATCATGCGGAGCAGCGGGCAGAGGCACATCAGGCGGAGCAGCAGGCAGAGGCACATCAGGTGGAGCGGCGGGCACCGGCCATCAGGTGGAGCGGCGGGCACTGGGCCATCAGGCGAGGCAGTGGGCACTGGGCCATCTGGCACAACAGCGGGCACCGAGTCATCTGGCACGACAGCGGGCACCGAGTCATCTGGCAGAACAGCGGGCACCGAGTCATCTGGCAGAACAGCGGGCACCGAGTCACCAGGCTCGACAGCAGGGCACCGAGTCATCTGGCATGACAGCGGGCACCGAGTCATCTGGCACGACAGCGGGCACCGAGTCACCTGGCACAACAGCGGGCACCGAGTCACCAGGCTGGACCACGGGCACTGAGGCACCAGGCCGGACCACGGGCACCGAGGCACCAGGCTGGACCGGGTCATCAGGCTGGATCACGACCACTGGGTCATCAGGCTGGATCAGATCATCAGGCTGGATCGGGTCATCAGGCTGGATCAAGAACACCGGGTCATCAGGCTGGATCGGGCCATCAGGCTGGATCACGAACACCGGGTCATCAGGCTGGATTGGGTCATCAGGCTGGATCACGAACACCGGGTCATCAGGCTGGATCGGGTCATCAGGCTGGATCACGAACACCGGGTCATCAGGCTGGATCGGGCCATCAGGCTGGATCGGCTGTCATCAGGCTGGATCGGGTCATCAGGCTGGATCACGAACACCGGGTCATCAGACTGGATCGGGTCATCAGGCTGGATCGGGCCATCAGGCTGGACCGGGTCATCAGGCTGGATCGGGCCATCAGGCTGTATCATGAACACCGGGTCATCAGGCTGGATCGGGTCATCAGGCATCAGGGCATCAGGCTGAACAACGGAAGGCGGGTTCTCAGACAGCAGGCTGACCGGTTTGGATACTGGTAGGATGGTACTAGTTGGAAAGAATTTTCGCTTCTTCTTTGGTTTAGTTACTGGGGCACTGCAAGTAAATGCAGGTCTGTAAATGGATGGAGTAGCTGGGGACAGAGAAGAGCTGGAGGGTGAAACAGAGGAGGGAATCGTTGTTACAGCAGCCTTTTTTACAGGGTTAAAGGCAGGATAGGTGCAGCGAGTGGGAACAGGGTACTGACATGTGGTAGATAGCAGGGTATATTGGGCTGTCACCGGGGGTGCTGTCGGGAATGCAGGAATAGAGCTTTGAGCAGAGGAATAATTAGAAGCAAGATGGGTTTGTTGCAAGCTGCCTGAGGCTGGGTGTAACAAGTCTGACCAGGACTGTAGTATTGGTTGAACAAAACTCCGCTTACACATAGCCTGTCTGACCAAAGACTGCACTGCGTTTATACACTCCACTAGCACATGTGGTGAACATGCTGAATAATGTTCCCAGAAGCAATCCGGATCATCCTCCAACAACCATACCAGTGATTCTATTTGATCCACACTGAATGGTGGAAGAAAGTCATCCCTGCTTTCAGGGGTACTAGATGAAGCCAACTCAACACAAGCCTGAATCAATGGTTGCACCTCAGAGAACTCTGTGCCGTGATCTACTAGGGAATGAGCGACCCGTATGCATTCTAGCAGCTGATCCCTGGTATACTCCTGCAGAGTCTGATAAGCATATTCTCTGTCATCTAAGACTAGCAAATACAAGTATACCACCTCCTCAGGATGCATCCTTCCCAACAACAAGCCAAGATGGCTTCCCTGTGCAGCCACTTCTGGTCAGGAATGGCCTTGGTGTAATGTCAGGGCTCCAGGTAAGACCAGAGATGCGTGAACTGACACAGGGAAACGCAGGCTCAAGTATGGTGTAACAATATAATTTATTAAAGGTTATACACAAATATAAACGCACAACAAAACAAAACCTCCAACTGATAACAGAATGTACACAGACAAGAGCAGTCAGGGCTGGTGAGGTGGAGTGGTCAGGCGGGCTGGGTCAGGAACCATCGGGCAGACAAGACACAAAGGAGTAGGCAGAGCGTAGTCAGACGGGCCGGGACAGGAACAGTCAGGCAGACAAGGTACCAAAGGAGCAGGCTGGAGAGTGGTCAGGAATAGCCGAGGTCAGGACAGGCGGAGTTCAACTCAGAGTCAGGATCAAAGCAGAATCAGGAATCGGGCAGGAAGCAGGCAAGATGCAGGTACAGGGGCTCATGGGAAACATACACCAAGGCCCTGACTGCAGGCCTGGCCATTCCTTAAATACACCTCCTGCAATCAGCCTCAGGTGATGGCTGATTGCAGGAGTGAGCTTCTGCAATCAGCCTCAGGTGATGGCGGATTGCAGGAGTGAGCTTCTGGTTGCTGAGAGCACCCGCTGGCCAGCCCTGGTACTGCAGCCCACAAGGCAGGTGAGTCCCACCACCATTGGCGAGTCCATTCCTGACAGCTTTACTGGGGTTTTATGCCTTCCTCTGGATCAATTGTGTGTATAGGATTGTGTATAGTATTGTATAATTTTTTTTCCTCCTTTTTGTTGGTTGAGCAAAATGGACTGTCCCCTGCCGACTCTACGCTGAGAATTGAGCAATCAAAGAGCACTGATCACAGTTCTCTGGTCCTCACTGAGTACACAGTGGTCACTGCCAGTCACTGGCTCTCTGCTCTTCCCCTCCAGCGCTCTCAAAATTTACATATAGTCAATATTTTAACAGTATAAACACAATATGCAAACACTAACAATACCCAGAACAAGCAATTTGACTGATTTTCACTTACTAAGTCAACACAGTGTGACAAAATAACAGCCCCCCTTGGATACAGTTGAAAAACAAGTTCTGCTGAGCATGCCGCAGAGAGTAGTGGGCATGGCCAGGTTGATTATAAGAGTGGCTTAAAAGAGGACAATTAAACAGAACCATCCCTTGTCCAACTACCTCTAAATCAGGGATAGGCAACCTTTCAGAGGTTGAGGTCTACCTGGACAACATGGAGTAAAGCAAAGATACCCTGGGGGGGGGGGGGGGTTACTAAGTGGCGCCCTTAAAAAAGAAAAAAAAAATCACCCCCCACAGTAGTGACCTCTGTCCCCCTTTACATCACCCCCACTGTAGGGTCCTTAGCCCTCTATCTGCTGAATCTGGTTCACAGGAGTACAGAACTAAGTGTACTCCCGTGACCCACTTGAGAAGTACGGGAAGAATCAGAAGATGTTTTGTTAAATTCCATTTTGACTTTTTTTGTCTTTTGTTAAAAAAAAATGTTTTATCAGAAGACAGTTTAGCATGTAAAGTTGTTTATTTTACCTAATACAAAAGGCAATTTAATCCATTTGTGATGGTCTCCTACTATTTATTTATAATCGAAGGACCATTTAACCATAAAAGTGTAACATTTTGGCTATGTGAAGCACCTAGATATTTTATTTTGGTATTTTTATGCCTAAAAAGGGAAATATTTGCCTATTAGCCGGGACTTACATACATTAACTCAAGTATAATACGTTCTCATTTGTTTATGTTTATTTGAAAATATCACAATTTTTCAAAAGTGCATAATTCTTTGAAAAGTATTGGATGGTTGAATTCAAAATAGAAGTAGGTCATCTGTAAAATCAGATATCTTGAATTTCTCCCCACAGATTTGTATTCCTTTGATGTCCTCATTCTGTCACATTTTTGGCAGGAAAGATTCTAATAATAAAACAAAGAGTGAAGGAGAAAGAAGGCATCCCTTTTCCAGGCTTTCTTAATACATTATTTGTTTAAAGCAGTAGTAAACTCTGTGTAATTTTCTTTTGAATCATACCCCCTGCATGTTAATGCTGTAATGTGCTAGTATTCACCACATACTAGCACATTATGACAAACTTACTTGTAACATGACCTAGAGTGCTGCACTGTCTCTGATCCCACATGTTCTGGATGAAAGGAATTTGACTCTCATCCCTCTCAAGACACTGACCCCCGTCAGTCCCAGGCTTGACCAGTGATTGTCCTCAGGCCTGGAGTTCACTTTGAGACACAGGAAACGCAGACACAAGGTGGTATCTCAGAATGAACTGAATTTATTCTTCCGTGTTTCAGCTTATATAAGAAACTTCAAACAATGCATAAAATATAGAAGCCAATCAAATATCAGATATGCATAAGCCAATCAAGTGTTACATACGTCAGTCATGGCCAATCATTTGTGATATACGTCATATTTGAACTCTTAAACACTTATGTAAATTTCTAAGTTCTTAAGAAAAAAAATATATTTTTAATATATCGTTTAACCACTAACCTTCAGTTTAATCTGATAAGAAGAAAAAGAGAACTTGGAGTTTAAGAGAAAGAGGAAGTTCTTTAGGTTTCTTGAGAATATGAGACACAAAAGAGGAACCTTTAAGTTTCTTATAAAAGATAACATACAACAGAAAGAGGAAGTTAGTTTTTAAATTCTTTGAAAAACAGAGAATATACAAGCTTTAAGTATTATTTCATATTTGCCAACTTAAGCTATCATATTTGAACAAGATGGCCTTTACTAACTCTTAGCACAAAATGGCTGTACCTTTAGGCTAAAAAGACTAATTCCTTCACTGGACACCTTCCATCATCACCCAATATCCTTTCAGGTTCTGTCTCTTCAGCTGCTTGATTGGCTGGGCCATGATGATGTTACTCTCACGCATGTTCTCAGGAGTCACATTGTCTTGGCACAGCGGGTGGTGCTAATGTACGCAGACTGGGGTTCTGTGTACATTACAATTGACAAGCAGAGAAATATTTATGATAGAAGATACTGATAGTCTTTACTACCTGTAAAAAAAAAAAGCAAGTTTGACCTTTACGAGTAACCTCTTAATTTTAATTTGTGCTGAAGAGTTTTTATACATAGCTAGTATTTGTTTAAAATAGTGGAAAGGTTATATTTTTCCAAGATAACTTTAAGATACTGTACAAAAAAATCAGAGTATATATCAAATTGGGTTTGCTTGTTTTTATTCGATGCCTAGTGATCGTCCACATTTTTTATCTTCCTAGCAGTTTTTAAATCTAAATAAGCATAAGAGTTTTTGGGAGAATCTCAGACTGAAATATCTGAGTTCAACTCTAGCTTTCTATCTAGTTGTAGACTTAACAGTTTGTCTTACATACCTTTGCATCCTGGGAATGGTAATTTTTGGTGTGTTGTGTTTGCAGCCCCTTCAAAATGAATATGCTACTACCAATTTTCACATTGACAACCTGGTAAAAGCAGTCTTCTGTACAGCCTGGACAGTTGAGTTCATAGAAAGGGAGGGTGAAAACACAAAAGAGTCAGTAAGGTGTGCTTCAGTACAAAATAACAGTCGTAAAGGTAGGCTGTGAAAAGGCGGTTCTAAATAAACCCAAGCAGAGCAGTGTATTGCAGTTTAATACAAAGACCTTTATTATAAACCTTAGTAAAAAAGTGAAACCTTGCA